TTTTTTCCAAAGTTTCAAATGCAGTTTCTGTAGAGCTTCGCTTGATCACATTGCATGAATTAGTTGTTTGAAATGTCGTCTTCAGATAAGTTATAAAATTAAGTTAAGCTAGTGATAAGCAAAGAAAACTTAAGAAATTGTTTAATACATTTTATTTTAACAGATGATGAAACATGTCTTTAATAAGAAGAAAAAATATGTTTTTGAATTGAAAACATTTTATTTTGAATTTTCTATGTACATGTTTATACTAAAACATTCAAGTCAATACTGCATTTGGTCGAAAATCATATTCGGTAAATATGCTTCGTTTAAAGGCTAGTTTCTCCAAAGTCAAAGCTTTTAAATAGGCATCATTGAAAAGGCAGCATGAAACCATGTAACAACGTTATTGTTACTAGCATGTTTCCTGAACCACTTTTAAACTTGAGCGCCATAATATGACCTTGGTTTCATAAACGCTTTGTGTGATAGTTAAAGTCTATATTTGCAAAAGTAAAATATAGAAATATAGCATCTCTCTCTATATAGTATTTCTGGATCATTGAATAAAAATTAAACTTTTTAATATGCTATTTAAAACTATTTATTCCGATCGCATTAACGCTAGATTTTTGTAAAGAAATGAGTTTATTTTTATCCACCACTTTAGTTAAAAAACCAAAATATTTATTGATAGCAGTATAAAAAATTCCTGAAACGCCACCCAGTTGACATACACACATCGGGCCTACGTGAGCATACTACTTTTTTTTTATTTTTTTTTTTTACAGCGGCCAACGGTAGTGTTTTTACGTCTAGCCGACAATGCTTTTGCTTATTAGAAAGACAAAGACTTGTTTACGTCGGGCTGTTATAAGAAAAATGACGTAAGATTAACATTAGTAAAATGGTGTTGGGCTGAGATCAGAAAAATCTCAAAAAATCCATTTGGTTCAAACCAATAAAATGACTGTTAACCACTGATATCAAGTTTAGATAACTAAAGCTTTAGATAAAGTTTAGATAAACTCTTATTCGCAATCATTAGAGAAAAAAAGATTGAACAGCCGAACATAACAATTATTATAATTTGTTATAAAGTGAAAGGTTAGAAGAATACATAAAAAACATCTAAATTAAGAAATTGTTATTCAATAGTCTTAATAAAATTTTATTTACTTTAATTAATTATCGTAAAATACTGAATGTTATCAATGAATACTAAAAATGTTAAAAAATTGTTATGGGCTTGCAAATATATCCCTATCTATTGAAGCATTTTGACAAACTCTTTCTAAATTATACAAAGTATTTAACATTGTTTGTTATAACTAATGTGTTGTTCTGTTTCGCCATTTTTTCAATTTTCGAAATTAGCCATTATTGGTCATTATCTACTTCATTTAATGAGGCACTGTTTTATATCAGAATATAGCGTGAAGCATCTAAAAAGAAAACTATTTTAGCCGGGAAATATAACGATTAGACTTTAAAAACTTTAACATTTGATAAGTAAAATGTACTTATTTTTCTCTTTTTGACATAACCACGAAGTATAACTTTATTTGTAACAAATTGGTCAGAAAATTTCATAAAATTAATTAGAACTCTAAATCTAAATCTAAAATTAACTAATTTCCATTGAAGCAAGATGATTTTGACGTACATATTTTGGGTAGCTCGACGAAATTGACAACTTTGATCATAGAATAAATATAGAAATCGTAAGTAATGATGTAATCAAACAGGAAGAAATTGTTTTTCTTGTCCTGCTAGAGAATTTGAAAAAAATTTGTAAAATCCATTCTAAAAAATTCACGGTCTGCGACAGATTTTTCTAAGCAATGTAAAGCAAAAATATGTCCATGAGATTGAGCTTCTACTTGATGTAAAATGTTGGAATTCAATTCCAACTACAATTAAGACACTAATTTAGATAGAAATAGTAATTCGAGATACTTTAACTGAATTAAAGGCGGAATAGGCTATGGACCCCATTAAATGTTAATAATTTATGTTTCAAAGGTGCAACTGGTTGCTAAAAAAAATATTCTGTTCAAAAAACTTAGTCATTTGAACTGCAAAAAAAGTAATAAGATCATAGAAAAATTGAAAATTTATTTTTTTAAAGAAATTTTTTACTAGTTAACCAGACCCGTGAAAATACGGGTCTCTTTTAGTCTATTCCACACCTACATTTGTTATAATTTTTCCTTATAAAAATATATTCGAACTTTCCGGACTTTCCGTAAAAAACGGGTTTTTACCAAACGCAGCAAGTTTGACCATTAATGTATATTGTACGAGAAACGTTTTAATTTTATTTAATAAACAAAAGATTTGATATAAGTTTTAACATTACATAATTTGAAAATTTAACATTACCTAACTTCTCACTACTAACTAGGTTACAATGGCTGCCAAGAGGTCCGTGTCAAACACGCTCGAAAGGCCACTACTAAAACTACTACTACTACTACTACTACTACTACTACTACTACTACTACTACTACTACTACTACTACTACTACTACTACTACTACTACTACTACTACAGACAATTTTTTAAAAATATTTTTGTATTTTGTTTATATTTTATACATTATTTGAAAATTACTATTATGTTCAGCATTATTATAAAGATATATATTGCCGAAACTGCTTGAAATATTAATTATAATCAAATAGTTTACAAACAAATTTTAGCATATTATAAATTGTACAAAAATCATATAACTCTACACTAGAGGATATATTAAAACCATTGTCGTTTAATAGTTTAAATTAAAGATATTTAAATAGGTTTATAGTAGTAAATAAATATATTCAAATAGATCTAAGTACATAAATTGACTGACTAAATAGGGATCACGTAAAAGGAGCGCGCTACATCGACAGTATAAGAGAGGTAATAATAAACTACTTATATGTAACACTTATGAGTAATTTCTTAATTATAATAATAATAAAACTCCATTAACAGTAAAAGCGAAGAAAACAAGGTTATAAACTGCATAATGGCATTGTTGATCAAACTTTTTTACATTTTATTTGAATACAAACAGTAAAGGCGAATTCACAATGTGATCAAGAAGTGAGTTTCATACTTTGATAATTTTTTTGCTGCAAAAAAAAAAAAAAAAAATCTGTCTCACTAGTGTATTTAATACGTAAAATAAAATTTTGTGAATGACATTTTATAAAATATTTTGAATACAATGTTAATAAAAATATTTATGAAGTGAGATTATGATGTTTATTGTGTTTAGAGTTGATCTTGTGAAAGTGGATGTCATCAAATAGAGTTGAATCTTGTGAAAGTGGACGTCATCAAGTAGAGTAGGATCTTGTGAAAGTAAGCGTTTGGTTTTGTCAGATTATTATTAGTATATCATTAATACATCATTACTAGTAGTATATCATTGTTTTTATTTTCAAAATTGCTTTTTTCTAGAACCAAGGACGTATTAATAGATGTGCGTTTAACCCATTGTTATAGATCTGAGGCGCCGTGAGTAAACAAAAGTCTATGCGAGCTATAATTTTTAGCCTCCTTTGTTTGATCAACAATGCCAAAAAAAGTTTGATCAACAATGCCATTATGCAGTTTATAACCTTGTTTTCTTCGCTTTTACTGTTAATGGAGTTTTATTATCATTATAATTAAGAAATTACTCATAAGTGTTACATATAAGTAGTTTATTATTAACTCTTTTTCTGAATAATTTATAAAAGTAAACCGACGTTTTTCTGTTGATTTCTTTTTTCTAACTACTTTTTTTAAAAAGTGCAATTACCTACAAAATTTTAACTTTTTCTTAAATTAATGCATTATAGTTAATCAGAAATAGCTCATTTGTTTTAAAATGTCAAATTTGATACGTGAGCGCTTTTTAATAAGAACTTATTATTAATAAAACTTAGACGTCAAAATCATATATTTGTACACAAGTGATCTTTAGTTTGAAAGAATGAATACTGCAAAGTGAAGCGAATTTTCTAGATGCTGTAGGTAAAACTGTTGATCATATATAGATCGAACTATAGATTACTTGTGGTCTCTATTCCCTACACTTAGTTTTCACTATTATTTTAAGTATTTAAATTTCTCATTTTTGTCGGAAATTTTGTCTCACAATTTTACTTTGACATTTTTCTGGGATTAACTCTTTTTTTCCATGTAAAGATTTTACTTGAGTTTATAGATCATATAATGATAAGGTTTTATTTATTTAAAAACTTTTTAGAGTTTTTAGGTGTTATGGAATGCTTAAATATTTCTTAGGCTGGCGAGACTACCGTTTTTTTGACGCAAAATCAAGTAAAAATATTCTCAATTTAAAAATAGTTAACTTCTGTTCTCTATTGTTTTGCTATTGTTATTTGTAGTAATGAATAGCGTGGATAACTTGGCTTTTAAACAATACGTTAAACGTCCATCTAATAATACGTCCTTGCTAGAACAAAATGTTTTTATTGTTGTGAATTAGTAGCTTTCCATAACCATTAAAAAACTTAATATTTTTTTGAGATGCAAAAGCGTCTCGTGGTGATGATCATGATGATTAGATGCTTAAGCAACTTACGGTGATGATTTTTATGATTAGCTGCATAATGGAGATAATCAAGATGATTAAGTACTTAAGCATCTACACGATGAGCAGTTTTTTTTTAAGTTTACAGACGCGATTTTTTTATGTAAAGGCGGTTAGGAAGCATGCCATAAATTTTGAGTATTTCTTTGTATTTTGGTTGGATAAATGATACAAAAGTATATAATTATAGCGTATGGTATGATCTTAAAAGTATAGCAAAAAATATAATAAGAACACTTTTTTAAATGTCAGTAAACTGAAAGTAAACTTAACAGTTTCAAAATTTACAATTTTAAAACTGTTAATTTCACTTCAGCTTTTACTATAAAATATGAAACAAAGTTCAAGTGGTAATCTGATATGTTAGGTTGTTTTAGATTTATAAATATTAAACTTTAATTTTAATTCCTTATTTGACGTGATATGGAAAGTAAAAGTAATCACGAAAGTAAATCTAAAAATAGACCACACGTTGAACATAATTATTTTTATACCTAACAAACTTTATGTCAGCCACATGCGATATATGTCAAACAACATGTATTCTTCTTTAAAAGAAAAATCAACTGCTTCCAACCCTAAAAAAGCAATTTTTTTTTCTGCATTTTTGTTTTCACAAGTTGGTATTTGTGTATGGATTTATCAAGTGCAATTGCGTTCTTACATTGCAAATGAAAATTTGTCAGAATTAAAAAATGCTATACAACTTTTGCAAAATAATCTGAATCGTAATAAGGTAAGTTAATAAACTTTAACACGGTATAAAGTATGCGGCGAATCTTATTCTAGACCAAACCGACAATAACCGACGATTTTTTACCGACGATATAGTTATTTTTTAAATAAAATATTTGCAGTAGTAGACCAGTAAGAAGTAGTTTTAGTAGAGTAAGATATTTTCCACGTTTAACTTTATTTTTTTATAAATTTTTTCATTATAGACAAAAGTCTATAATGAAAAAATTTATATCAACAATTATTTGACAGCAAGTTTCAAAATTGGTTTAGAAAGTTTTTTTAAATTGTTGACAATATTTGTTTGAAGTTTTTATATTGAAAGTTTTGTTGCTGATAATATTTGTTTGACCTTTTCCCTGAAGTATGCAAAGTAGTTATTTTGCTTTCAATTTCTTGTTTATACTTATATCTCATGTACTTTCACAAGCCAAATCCAAACCCACCCGCCCAAACCAAAAAGGGAGTTTTTTTTATTTGTGGTAAAGTCTCAAAAACCATTTTATTTTATTTTTTTATTTGTTATTTAGGTGCCCCAAAAAGTCCTAACGGTCTTGTCACAGAGCACCGTGGAAGTGCATTTAACCAGGAAGTTTACGCCTCCTTCCTTACTGTGACGCAAAATAGGTCCAAAGCTCTTTTCTAACCTGGATCTCCTGCTTATAAAGCAAGTGCTCTAACCACTGCGCAACGGCCGCAATATAAATCCCATAAAACTATTTACTTTATATTATAAAACTATTTGTTTATCACATTTTCATTTTTATAATTTTTTGTTTTATATTTTATAGTTTTAAATCATTTTTTATATTTCAGTTTAAATCAAGTTTATATTTAATAGTTGAAAATTTAGAAACCTAATTTTTAGGTCAATGAAATCATTGTGTTAGGTCCAAAAAATGAGAGTTTGTCAACCTTAACTCAGAGTCCTTACTCAAGCTTAGTTCCAATAAAGTACGATATTGATG